TGTGATGCGCAGCTGTATTTTCAGCATCATTACTCCAGTTTTCAGAGTCACATGATCTTCAGAAATCATTCTATTTACATTTATTGATGTTACAAACTATTTTTTTTTTTTTTCAGTTTAATATTTTTGTGGAGACTTTGAAGTGTTAAAGTTAAAATATCATCTATTTTTTTTATTATACCACTCAAAATCCCCAGTTTATTCTGAATATGTTTTGAGTTCTAGTGTGACCCTTCAACTTCACTTGGTGTGGGTGATCTTTGTGATGTGTGTGAAATGTTAAAGTCTGTATGTCCAGCTGACAATCTCAAACATTAACGGCAGCATCTTCTTTATACTGAAAACTAAAAGCAACAAATACAGCAGAACAAAGTATGACCTTTAATCCACTCAATCAAGCAGCTCCGCTGAAGAGAAACCGACTGAACTTGTATGCCAGTTCAAGTATGTGAGCACAGTTTTGTCTTGACTCTTGAGCGGTGCTCTTCTGAAGACCTTGATTAGCCGTGTGTGTAATTGGCCCTTCAGGAGCAGGATTGGATCTAAGGGCCTGTTTACACATGGCCACTGTGTTTTCTTTGATTGGATAGGTGTCCAACGTGAAAAGACTAGGTGATGATGCTTTTGCGTTCGAGATTGATTGCTGTCTGATCTCACAGACCACTTCAGGAGGTGGTTTGAGAGGCATTTCAGATTAGGGCTGGGCGATATGACCAAAAATAATTATCACGATTAATTTTTTTTTCATATCAGTCGATATCGATAATCATCACGATAAATGTCAAATCTTTATTTCTTTCCAGATTTTTGCTCCAAAGTAAAAGTTGTAGAAACCAGACCATTAATTTGGGCTCATTATAATGATTTAACAAAATAAATATCTGAATAGAAAAATGTATTTCTTAGTTTCTGCATGCTCTAATGAGTGATATTGTTTCAAATAAAGAAACGGGTTTGGGTTGCCTGATAATATTAATATTAATTACATCACTTTTTTGTCTCATAGAAATGCACATTTGATAGTAGCTTGAGTTAGGATGCGGAGGTACATTTTTGTTCATTATCAAAATCAGTAACCTCTGTAAAAATTGTAGCAATCTCCATTTTATATGGTTACATTTATTCTGACCAAGTTTTTACATTTTTTTTTTAAATTAAGCATTGGTCTCCCATAGTAGTATACATTTAAATCATGATAAACACAGTTAAAACCACACATATAGCACCTCAATACCATGGTAAAAATATAACTATTGTTTTTAGGTAGCCTATTTGTATGAAAAACAGTAGTCTAAAAATATTCAGTATAAATGCACACATGCAATAGCTTAATCACAAATACATACTATAATTATATACCATTACTCCTGTAGTAAAATTCAATGTGAATATCCCACATTTGTGCCACAATACCATGGTGCATTGAGTGTTACTACAGTAAATCCATGGTAAATGATGGCGATGTGTAGATTAAAAGCCTTCTGACTGTCTCGTTTCTTTGCACACAGTGTTTCTCCTGTTTGGCTTTAAACTAGTTTAAAGGGGTCATATGATGCGATTTCAATTGTTCCTTTCTCTTTGGAGTGTTGTGTGTGTGAGAGAGAGAGACAGCGTCACATCAAAGTGTCAGCTGTCTTAACCGCGGCTTGTGTACTGCATCATTACTGTGTCTGTTCCCCTTTCGGGCTTGAACTGATGGTAAAACTAATGACATTATTTACTGTCTTTACATTTATTTTGAAAGATGAAGCTCGCGATTATGGTAAGGGGCGTTACATTTCCGACGAGTGCTTGCGGTGTTCGGCCAATCACAATGCACTGGGTCAGCTGGCCAATCAGAGCAGACTGCTCTTGTCGGAAGGAGGGACTTTGTAGAAAACGAAGCGTTTGAGAGAGGCGGGGCATAGAGGACCTACAATAATGTACAGTATTTGAAAAATAATGTGTTTTTTGAACATTAAAGCATGTCAACATATTCTGTTACACCAAATAATGATCTTTAAAAAAGCATCATATGACCCCTTTAAATCACCGAGTCATTTGTGTTCATCGCTGAGCTCAAGCACTTCACACTGGATCTCACAGCGCTGCTTAGAGCTCACGTGAGCGAGTAAACACATCTGCTCTAGTGAGCGTTTTGAACATTGGTCCGAGCGGATAAACGGTCCATGTGGCGTGATTCAAATGAGTCGCGCTGTTTCGTTCCGCTTTTGGCGCATAAACATTATATCGAACTCTTCATATCGTTGTATCGAGGAAAAGTATACCGCGATAATTACCGTTACCGAATTATCGCCCAGCCCTATTTCAGATGCAACTGGACAAGTGTAACTGTGTCTGCTTGTTAAAGCCGCGCATGTAAATTTTACTACTCTCAAAACTGCAAAATTGAAAGGTGAGCGTGTTTTAGCTACCAGCTCCTGCTAGCCAGATACCCCAGCACTGCTGCTGTGGTCCACTGGAGATGAGCGTCTCTATTCTGCTAATTGACACAAATGAAACTCACCGTTCAGCATCGCATCTTCAATATGCGGCATCTTTATATGTTCAGCACGGTCCTCGTTATTAAGCGACAAGCACTAAATTCTCTCACCAGTGCTGAAGGGGCTCAGATCAAAGACAATAACAGTTAGAGTAGTTCACTTCCAGAACAAAAATGCACAGATAATGTACTCGCCCCCTTGTCATCCAAGATGTTCATGTCTTTCTTCAGTCATAAAGATTGTTTATTGAGGAAAGCATCTCAGGATTTCTCTCCATATAATGGACTTCTATGGTGCCCCTGAGTTTAAATGCAGCTTCAAAGGGCTCTAAACGATCCCAGCCAAGGAAGAAGGATCTTATCTAGCGAAACAATTGGTTATTTTACTTTTTTTTTTTTTTACAATTTATATACTTTTTAACCTCAAACGCTCGTCTTGTCTAGCTCTGCGTGAACTCTGTGTATTCCGGTCCAAGACAGTTAGGGTAGGTCTAAAAACTCCCATCTCATTTTCTTCTCCAACTTCAAAAGCGTCCTACATCGCTGCAGAAGTACCGACCCAGTGTTTACAAAGTTAACATGCAAAGAAAATCAAACACCCTTTACAAAAAAAAGGTAAAACCGCAATGTAGGACGATTTTTCAAGGTTCGAGAAGTGCTTGGATTTTGAAGAAAGTTCTTGAAACCGCCTGAAATTGCAATTGCATTGGTTTCAGAATAATTCGCGTTCTTACTTGAATGGTTCACTTTTTAGATAAAATAAGCCTGGTCACATTTGCACCTTTTTTCATAAAATGAAAACATCTCTGCTCGAGTCTGTGCGTGTGGCTGTAGTGTTATCTGACGGTCTTTATTGACCTGTGCTCTCTGATGAAACAGAGTGGGAGATAAAACATGCCGTGAGGTTTGCTGCTTCAGTGGGCGTTGGCTTGAAAATGTTAATGTGAAATGCAATCTGGTTTTTAATAGCTAAATAACTTCTGATATAAAGTAAAGAACACAAATGTGTGTGTAAACCTGTATTATAAAACAGTTCCGGTGCTTGATTCTGATTGGCTGAGCCACGTTCAAAGCTGTTGTAAATGACTCTACAAAGTAACATACACCTTTGTTTACGTCTGTGTGTTGCTCGGCAACCACTTTGTTGCAACCACAACTGTTTCTGCCTCTGAGGAGCTACATTGTTTGGTGGAAGAATACTGTTTTTATTATCATTACACTTTATTTGCTCTGTTTTATTTTGTGAAACATTGCTACATATATGGAATAACCGTTTTATAAAGCAATAAGCCCCGAGAAGCCGTGGTCTACAGTGAATTTATAACAGCTCCGCTACAACGCCCCTTAGCTGTTATATATATTCACTGTAAACCACGGCTTCACGGGGCTTATTGCTTTAGTTTACCGCAGTTGTAAAGTGGAGAAGCTTGACTTTGGAAAAGGTGTAAGAACCCTGTAAATGCCTAAGACTCGTTGACATGGATGTTTCATGAGATTCACCCTAGTAGTTTTTGTCTGTCTTGATGAAATGGCTTGTACAGAACATGAGTGTTTGTCTATATAATGAGGTGTAAATGTTTGTAGAATGCGACCAGTGATAACCAGGGCATTCAGCTCAGCGCCGTTCAGGCCGCCAGGTGAGTAACGGCTCATTCATCATGATGTTTTCTAAGAGTTTCCTCTATGACTGCTCGTGTGTTTCTCTAGTATGTGACTTATTGCTGTGTGACGCATCCTATTGAGTATTGTTGACCTCATCTTGCAGGAAGCTGCTGTCGAGTGACCGCAACCCTCCCATAGACGACCTGATCAAGTCTGGGATTCTGCCCATCTTGGTGCACTGTCTGGATAGAGACGACAAGTAAGACCCGTGTCGTGTGACTAGACATGTGCCGGTATTCGGTAATGCGATATATCATGATAATGAATATGCACGATATTGTTATCGTGGGCACTTCAAAATACAGAGATTAATTATTTATTACAAAATTATTCAGAATTTTGAATGCAGATTTGTATATTCGCTATGTTGTTCATCACCGTGCCAAATATTTAGACTTAATAGGCTATTTATTTTCAAACCCTTTCACAATTTAATCTGGACAACAACATGCCCTAGATATTGTTTGAAAGTGTTTTGATTCTTTATTGTTCGGTCACACTGTACATTAGAGCTTCATTAGTTAACATTAGTTCATTCATTAGTTAACATAAACTGCCAATGAAAAATTCTTCTGAACATTCATTAATCTTAGGTAATTACAATATTTAATAACAGGTTGTTAAAATCAAAAGTTGCAACTGTGTTATTTAATGAGCTAACATGAACTAAGACTTGTATTTTTTAACAAAGATTAATAACTTCTGTAGCAAATGTAGCTATTGCTCATTGTGAATGTTAATGCATTAACTAAGGTTAACTAATGAGGTCTTATTGTAAAGTGATACCTATTGGTCTTTATAGTTCTTTTGCACTTTAATCTGTGTAAAACTTTTAACTTTATACATTTTTGTATTTATTGTATTTAAATGTTCAGTCATTTTTGTTATAAGAAAAAAGTTATTAAACCTGTTATACTGTATTATGACAGCACTTTTTTAACTAAATCTCAATATCGTGATAATACCGCATACCGTGATAAAAGCATTAGCAATTAATCGCATCATGAAAATTCGATACCAGCATATCCCTACGTGTCACTGTGTTTTTTTTGTTCCACATATATTTTTCTCATGACAATCTTTTGTTTTCTCTGTTCCGTAGCCCTTCTCTGCAGTTTGAGGCGGCCTGGGCCTTGACCAACATCGCATCAGGCACTTCTGAGCAGACGCAGGCAGTGGTGCAGTCGAGTACGTACTCCTGATGCTCTCTGCACCTATGCTTGCTCAGTACTGTGCTTTCAGAATCCTAGTTCATGCATTGTAGGACACGAGTGTTTTAGCATCTGTTGTGCTGGACAGAAGTGTGCAGTGCTGCCTTCACTGCTCGAGCTTCCGCTCTGATTAAAGTTCTGCACGTGCCTAATAGCAGAAACTGACAGGGGATCATAAGCGATGGGTGACTAGTCATTTAAAACAAATCAACCAGGCGATTACTGTTTTTTTGACTCATTTAAAGAAGCATCTTCTCTGAGTGTGTTTTTTTTTTTTTTTTAACCAGGTGCTCAAGGTTTCAAAATGCAGTTTATGAGACTTGAATATTTAGACATGAGACTAAATATTTAGATAGAAGCCCGTTTTAGAGTAAAGCAAGTTGTTCTCTTACTACATAATACTGTTGTGAGTGTCTCTGTTGCTGTAAATGCAGCTCCACACAAGCTCATGTGCTGTGAGTTTAGGCTACTTATAACGTGCACTAGCTTCACTTTCACATTCACACCACTTTTGTGGACAGAGAATTTCTGCATTTCACCGGATTAGTAAACTAAACTCGACTAAACTTTAAGTACATTCAAATCTTTTTTTTTGTACACAGACCAGGTTCAATTTTTGTTTTAATTAAAACTAAGTATTATCACACAAAGTAGCTATGAGTTGGATGTTTTCACAGGGGATTTAATGTTTATCATATTGCAATTCATATAGTAGTGTATCACATTTGCAGTACAATGTTTTTGGCCAAACTGTGCCGCTATTTTTAGTATTATGCACAGAGGTGCACATAAGTTTTTCAGAATGGTTCTCATGAGAGCACCTGAAGATTTGGTTTGGTGTTCACACTGCGCGCACTAAAAATAGGCTATATATTAGTATTATTGCGCTTAGGCTTTGTTTTAGCAATCAAAGTGTGATACTTGTATTTTAAAATAAAAACGAGTATTAAATAAAAATAAATTTATTTTATAGTTCGTTTAAGAAATACAAGCTAATTTTTAAAATTTGTATTTTTATAATTCTGAATTTGAATATGAATTTTCAAACCTAAAATCAGCAAGCTTTTATTTTGGCAAGTTGCCAGCAAGTAAGAATATGTGCTGCCAGTTTTAACGCTGCAGAGTGAAGCGTGTCAGTGAATGAAATGCCACAGTTTTGCTCTGAAACCGGCAGTGCGTAGCCTAGATTTATGCTTTCAGTTCGAATGTAAATCTTATACAGTATCGAAAACGGTGATTGTGCATTAACAGCTGTCTACCATGTTGTACGCAAATGAGCGGTCTGAACTTACTTACCAAGCTTTTTTTTGTTGTTGTTTTGGTTGTGCATGCGCACCACTGATTATGCATTTAGGTTGGCTGGATTCCAAGTAACAATCTGAAAATGATAACTAAAGTTGACCTAGGGCTGGACAATAATTCAATATCAATATGTATCGCGATATAATTTTTGTCAATAACGGTGATATGATTTTTATATGAATGTATCTCTGAAGGGAACCGACTGTCTTCAGAATAGTTTAGATGGCATTTTTATCTGATAAAGTAGCGTTTGTAAGCGGAGCTGCTTTGTTTACAGCCATTGCTGGAGAAACCGTTAGTTCCATCGCTCTCACAGCGCCTCCTGCTAGGATCTGCAAGGAGGAATGGCAGAGGATCCCCAAATCCAGGTGTGAAAAACTTGTTGCATCTTTCCCAAAAAGACTCATGGCTGTATTAGATCAAAAGGGTGCTTCTACTAAATACTGAGCAAAGGGTCTGAATACTTAGGACCATGTGATATTTCAGTTTTTCTTTTTTAATAAATCTGCAAAAATGTCAACGATTCTGTGTTTTTCTGTCAATATGGGGTGCTGTGTGTACATTAATGAGGAAAAAAAATTAACTTAAATGATTTTTAGCAAATAGCTGCAATATAACAAAGAGTGAAAAATTGAAGGGGGTCTGAATACTTTCCGTACCCACCGTAAATGCAGGCTTGGTGAGCAGAAGAGAATTCTTTAAACATTCAAAATCTTACTGTTCAAAAACTTTTGAGTGGTATGTTAGCCTATAGTTTGAAGTAAAAAATATTAATATTAATAAGGAGAGTCTGAGATTTATTTGACAGTGATTTCACATTTCTTGTTTGTATGAAGGCTAAATACCAATAAAAGGTGAACATTTATTTATTTGCGACATTTTTTTCCTAAAATATTATATAGTTTTATAGGAGTAGGTTTCATAGAGTTGGCAAATTAATTTTTCATAAGTTTGTAGGTACAGACATCTGTTGTGGCCGTTCTTGGCCGTTTTTATGAGGCTTTTTTAATAGGGTTCATATCGATATCGGAATTATATCGTATCGACCGAAATTAAGAAATATATCGTGATATAAATTTTGGCCATATCGTCCAGCCCTAAGTTGACCAAACCAGAAATATTCAAGTTAATTATCAGTGAGAGTGTAACTGTGCAGTATGTTTACTTGTGTGTCTCATTCTTTATCTCTGTGTTGGTGTAGATGCGGTTCCTCTGTTCCTGCGGCTGCTGCATTCTCCGCACCAGAACGTGTGTGAGCAGGCGGTTTGGGCTTTAGGGAACATCATCGGTAAGTGATTAACTCTGCAAGATTGTTACTTTATGTGCTGGAGCGTTATCATGAGCTGATGGGGTCAACCGGTCGTTGTCAAAGATCCAGCATGTAGCGTTTTGAGTTTCTGATGGTAGGTCATTGCCACACCATTCATCTCAGCGCTTGTGCTTCTCATCCTGATTGTCATGTGGTTCAACACATGTTCACACTCATGGTGTGCACTGATTATCAAGTGAGCAATCACCATGTAAAGCGACGAAGTGATTGATGGGTGCTCATGTTTCGCTGGTTGTGTTCGGTCTCATGATCAGAGGCTGATGGGATAGGAGTGCTGTGTCAGATGAATGATCGCTGTGCTGTTACAGGTGACGGCCCTCAGTGCAGAGATTACGTCATCGGTCTGGGAGTGGTTAAGCCGCTCCTGTCCTTCATCAGCCCCTCCATACCCATTACCTTCCTCCGCAACGTCACTTGGGTCATGGTCAACCTGTGCCGCCACAAGGACCCGCCCCCGCCCATGGAGACCATCCAGGAGGTATGAGTGTGACGCATCTGTGATCATAGAGTGAGTGTTGGACAGGAGTCATGTGACCGGGTGTCATCTCACTGCTCTGTTTGCAGCAGCTACTAACAGGTGGAATCTCTTCAAAACTTTCTTCGATCTGGTTGCTCAAATACATTGGTAGTAGAGCTGGGATAATAAATCGATGCATCGCGAATTGAGAAGAGATTCTGCATCGATTCTGAGGTTTTCCGAAGGCATCATGATTCTCCCTTGAGTCGATTCTGAGCTTAGTTTTTAACAGCAGATGGCACTGCACCATTTGAACCTAAAATAATCATTCATAAAGTTCGAAAAGGTTACAAGGATGTTCACAGTGGCCTGTGTTTACATTAATCTTGCATCGTAAAAGCAGATGTGCAGTTTAACCACTTGCATTACTCAGCCAAATGCACAAGCGCTCTTCTTCGTGAGCATTTGAGTGTGTGGTTAAAAACTAGCCTAGAGCGCCATCTGCTGTTAAAAACTAAGCTCAGAATCGATTCCAGAGAGAATCACGATGCATCGATTTATTGTCCCAGCCCTAATTGGTAGTGTGAATGCTAGTGCGGCTTGGCCAACTGCACAATCAACCACTGCAGTAAAACATTTTTTAAACTTATTTTTAGTTAACTAATTAAGTATGTTCTGCTTGCTAGTTTTAAGTGGTCTCTCTCCATCTATATTTTCCTAATTAGGGCTGCACATTTAAAACAACTCGTCTGTTTGCCTTTTATAGCATCTGTTTCTAACCTTTTTAATTGTAGACATTGATACAATTAATATAAGGTTATAGATCATCTTTTGTAAAAAAAATTTTTTGATACGTTCAGTTAGATGGTAAGAAAGTAGTGCTGTTACCAATTAAATGAAATCAAGAGTTCAGATGTAGCATGAGCGCATTTGCACAGCAATTACAAATGCAAAATGTTATGAGATTAGTGTTTAAGTAATTTTGATTATAGATATATGAAATGCTTTTAAATATAAACGAAAGCCTCCAGTAGGTGGTGTCATGTGACTGTCTTCATGAATGGGTCATTGTATCATTCACTTAACAGAGTAATTAAAAAAAATGCTAATTCATTCACGAGTGAAATGCAATCGATTAAAGCTATTGATAGTCGAAATTTAAAAGATGGTCCAAACTTTAAAAGTACATTAAAACAGAAACAACACAAAGTTCTCTTGCATTGAAATGTAATAAACAAGTTGTTTAATTATAATTTCCCCAGATAAACGTTTCATATCGGGCTCTGTGCTTTGACAGGGCTGTGGGACACGAGCAGGACAGATAGCCTATATATACCTATTAGGGCTGCACGATATTACTTGTGCTGTGAGTTTGACTTGAATAGCTCTATTTGGAAATAATCAATGATTGGGATGATTTCGTAGGTGAGTAAATCAACATAGAAAATAAATTACAAGCATAGAGAAATATAATAGAACAAAGATACAAATGAGTGCTTTATATTTTTCAGGTAAGTCTAGTAGTATTCAGGTACAGAAATTGAATAATCAACACTGTAGCCTTCACCGTATAAATTAAATCTAATAAATCTGTTAAAGCTACAAAAGTAATTTTTCTCTGTTTTGTTGTTTGATTAACATTCATGACACAGAAAGCCTTTCTCAATTTTTTCCCTTCACCTAAACCATAAGCAACTGTGTTTACAAGGATACTTGCAGAGACATGCATTTTGACAATTTCGTGCGTGTTACAATAAAATAAACCTGCGAGGGTTAGGGGGTGAGACGGTGAGGATTTGGGAAAAGAAACAATAAATATTATTAAATTAGTGGAAAATCGTGACCAACCGGCAAAACTGAACACAAAGCCACGTATGGTGTTCGTTTGAGTTTCCCTCTTCGCTTTCAAATGGCAAGTGCCATGCGCATTTTACTTTCACTTTCAAATTAGCGGCAATTCGGCATTGATTCAATTCAAGCAACAGCATCAAACTCATAGAACTTTTATTAACAAAATGATTAAAAATACACCATATATGCCTAATAAAACAACAAATTACTTGGTCTACACAGTTTAAATGGGTATATAAAACTGAAAATCAGCAAACTGCGGAACCAAATAAATAAGAAAACATAGAACGTTTATTAGCAAAACGAATAAGAAAGCTTGGTGGCACGACATATACACCTTGATGTAAAATAAAATAAATAGAATACACAAAGTTTAAATAAAGTAATCAGCAAACACTGTGGAACCAAATAAATAAGAAACGAATGTTTAAAAAAAACTTCCAGTCAATAGGCTTTTCAAAATCTAAAATATTGCCAAACAGGCGCCTTTGCATTTCCTTTCTAAACAATCTTCTGCCATCGTCTTGTCCTTCTCACCTCACTCTTGTCAGTCAGCTCGACTCGCTCTCCTCGCGTGATAAATTAAATCTGACTCCTGCTCCGTGGTGCACTGTCGTTCGCGCACGGTTCGGCACGCTGCATTGAGAGTTTAGTTTTTTTTAAAGTGTCTGTCCTCTAACTGAACTAGGCTAAATTATTTTTATTATAAAAAAATCTAAACGACGGTGGGGGGCGGTGCCGCGGTAGGCAAATGACGTAACCGGTGTTGCGGCTTAACACCGGTATAACCGAAAACACCGTCCATCGCAGCAAGCCTAGCATGAATGCAAAAGCGATGTAACATTTGCCTGCTAACCCACTAGGCCAGGCCTGTTTCTCTTATAAACAAAGCTTTGTACCTCACTTGTCATACTCGCATTAAAATGTTTCATGTGAGCAGCAGTGTGTTTTGCCGCAGCACCGCCGGTGGAAGCGGTTCTCTGACCAGAAACACGCCGCAGTTACGTTCGGCACTTTATTTTAAATGCCAATAATGTCACTTGCAAACGTTGCAATGGTGTTTTAAAATACAACAACGAGCACAATATAAACCATTTAAAGAGGCACGTTCAGCAGTCTCCTGAAGCAACCAACAAAGTAAAATGATCCCAAACGTAACTATGGCGTGCTCTTCATTTTATCGAATGATCATAATCACATCCATTCATTTTACAGTCCTGCTACTAGCCTTTATTTAGACTAAAACCCCCTTTAATTCGGGTGAGGAAGCCTGCGTTTTGTGACATTTGCACATGCCGGTGAATATATGCCACTGCAATAGACGCATTTTGCAGTATTTAGGTTAACGATTAATTGATCGTTAATTTAAATGACGATCAATCATGGAAATAATCGAAAATTGACATCCCTAGTTCTGATAGTCATCCTGTTTTGGTGGTATTTTGCTGCCATCCTACTTTAATTTCCATCCCTGGTCTACACTGCCCAGTTATTTATTTTTTTTTTATAAACATGTATTTATGATGAACACATGGGCGTAATACAAGAGTACTACTCAGTTCAATATCAATCAGCGCAGGCTTATGGACTAATTTAAGTAACTCTGGTTGGTCATTGCACTCGTGCATTTAATATACATGTTTGCGGTTACTTATAGTACTCAGTGCTGCAAAACTTCAAGATTAATCACGGCATCTTTTATTTTTTTTGATCAGTTGTAATTGTGCAGCCCTGCTCCGTGTTGCAGACTGTCTGCAGTATTCCTCATGCAGTGATTTGCTGCTGACTCTCCTTTCATCGGTTGCTAGAGATTCATGCTAATAGCAGGTGTAAGCGGCTCTGTTTGTTCCTGGTGATGATCTTGTGTGTTTCTTCGTACAGATTCTTCCTGCGCTGTGCGTACTCATCCACCACACTGATGTCAATGTAAGTGCTGCTCTTGCTCTTTGTGTGTAAATGCACCGCTCCAGCGTCAGATGGACGGATGGGTTTAACTCTGTTCTGTGCAGATCCTGGTGGACACGGTCTGGGCGCTGTCTTATCTCACTGACGCTGGCAATGAGCAGATCCAGATGGTCATCGATTCGGGGATTGTACCATACCTCGTCCCCTTACTGAGCCACCAGGAGGTCAAAGTTCAGGTGCGGAAGAGCATGTTGTATCGAGGTCACTTCAGAGACATGCTCCAAACTGTTTTTGCACTCATTTAAATGTAATGGTTTGCATGTTTTGTAATGAATGTAGACGGCAGCTCTGCGAGCGGTGGGGAATATTGTGACGGGCACGGACGAACAGACTCAGGTGGTGCTCAACTGTGACGCTCTGGGTCACTTCCCAGCTCTCCTCACACACCCCAAAGAGAAGATCAACAAGGTAACAAGTGCCCGTGTGAATCTCACAGCATCCTCAGCTCACATTTCACCCCTCAGTCTCTAACAAATTGTTTTGCCTCAGGCAAATTTAAAGATGTGGCGTGTAAATGCAATATAATACACACAACTATGTTTTCAGAGGTGTATAAAGACCTTGCATAATGAACTGTTATGTTTTTATTACCTTAGAATGAGCAGTTTCTATCTACATACACCGCAGGTGCCTTTACATGGAAGTCTTGCGCTGTTTCTACAGTAGGACAAACTGCTCTACAGAGCGCGTTTCGGCATTATGATGGTCTTGCACATAAAACACAGTAACAATAATATTCACAATAACATATCGGTTAACTGAATAATTAAGTAAATATAATTCCTTAATTTACTGCTGGCTACTCTATGCTGTCTCGGATGAGGACATCTTTGTCACCGTAGCTTCTCTGTGTGCAATTCGCAACCTCACCAGTAGATGTCGCTTTAAGTGAATTTTTACCACGATTGAGAGATTTTCATGAATACTGGTTTCAGCCTTAGGAGTTTGGGGGGGTTATTTTATTTTGAACATGTTAGGGCCAGTACCATTGTCTTTGTGAAATATTTCTTGTATTTATTTTGGGGTGAAATGTGAATCTCTAGATGTTTCCAAAAGTGATATCAAGGCCTAAGTGATGTGCTAGTGTTGGATATGATGACAGCTGAGGTGTGGCGCTGGCGTGAGTGAATGCTGAACAGAAACAGCAGCGTAATGTTTAAAGTGTAGTGTAATGTGTGTGTGTGTGTGTGTGTGTGTGCGCGTGTGTGTGGCTGATGGGTGGGGGTGTCAGAGATCAGTGCTGATACAGGAGTGCATCTGAGGCGGGCCGCTCACACCGAGGCTTCTCTGCGGTCTGGCTGATGATTACAGCCTCGTTATCACTCTCACCCTCAGCCGCCGGTGCCACAATCTCAGCAGGGCCTGTGATCCGTCACACACGCCCTGTGATCTGATCCGACCGCCCGTCTCTCTCTCACACAGTCATCAGCTCTGATACTGATGTTTAATGAGTCTGAATGTCATGCTCTTGTAGGAGGCTGTGTGGTTCCTGTCCAACATCACTGCTGGGAACCAGCAGCAGGTTCAGGCCGTCATTGATGCCAATCTAGTGCCCATGATTATTCTGCTGCTGGATAAGGTTGGTGACTGGAGCTCTCTTCATTAACTCCATAGTATTTAAAAAACAGTGGCATCTAGAGCTCACGGGGTGCAAGTTATAGCATCTCGCGTGTACACTACCAGTCAAAAGTTTTTGAACGGTGAGATTTTTAATGTTTCTAATGAAGTCTCTTCTGCTCGGCAAGCCTGCATTCATTTGAGCCAGAGTACAGCAGAAACCGTAACATTTTGAAATATTTTTACTATTTAAAATAACTTTTCTATTTGCATATATATTATAAACTGTAATTTATTTCTGTGATGCGCAGCTGTATTTCCAGCATCATTACTGCAGTCTTCAGTGTCACATGATCTTCAGAAATCATTCTAATATGCTGATTTGCTGCTCAAGAAACATTTTTTATTATGTTGAAAACAGCTATTAAGTAGAATTATTTTCAGAACAGCATTTATTTGAATTAGAAATCTTTTGTAACATTATAAATGTCTTTATCATCATTTTTATGATTTCTTTCCACAAAAAAAAAAAATTAATTAACTGACTCCACGCTTTTGAATGGGTATAGTGTATTATGCTGAATCTTTCTATTCAAAGAATCCTGAAAAAAATGTACTGAACTGTTTTAAATATTATTATTATTATTATTATTATTATCTAATATTACATATTAGAATGATTTCTGAAGATCATGTGACACTGAAGACTGGAGTAATGATGCTGAAAATTCAGCTTTGATCACAGAAATAAATTACAGTTTAACACATATTCACATAGAAAGCAGTTATTTTAAATAGTAAAAATATTTCACAATTTTACTGAATTTGCTGTATTTTTGATCAAATAAATGCAGGCTTGGTGATCTTTAAAGATCTTACTGTTCAAAAGCGTTTGACTGGTAGTGTGTATACCGGTAGCAGTTTAGTTTTGCTGTGGTGGTAGGGAATGGTGAATGATCGCTGGTATTGACATGTAAATGTTGGTGCTGTGTCTCTCAGGGAGATTTTGGCACTCAGAAGGAGGCGGCGTGGGCCATCAGCAACCTGACCATCAGCGGCAGAAAGGATCAGGTGTGTTATTCACTCATATACACATGCTTATGCATGAAAAAGAGGGGCGGTGTTCAGATGTTGTGGTCTCGTCCTGTAGGTGGCGTACCTGATCCAGCAGCAGGTGGTTCCTCCCTTCTGTAACCTGCTGACTGTCAAAGACGCTCAGGTGGTGCAGGTGGTTCTGGACGGGCTCAGTAATATCCTCAAGATGGCTGATGACGAAGCCGAGACTATCGCCAACCTCATCGAGGAGTGTGGAGGTGAGCAGAGAGTGTGCTTGTGTTGGAGGACCCCAGCCAATCAAGCGTGTTTGATAGGCGAGACATATGTGACCCTGGACCACAAAACCAGTCTTAAGGGGCAATTTTTCAAAATTGAGCTTTGTACATAATCTGAAAGCTGAATAAATAATCTTTCCATTGATGTATGGTTTGTTAGGATAGGACAATATTTGGCTGAGATGCAACTATTTGAAAATCTGGAATCTGAGGGTGCAAAAAAATCTAAATATTGAGAAAATCATCTTTAAAGTTGTTCAAATGAAGTTCTTATCAATGCATATTACTAACCAAAAATTAAGTGTTGATATATTTACAGTAGGAAGTTTACAAAATATCTTCATGGAACATGATCTTTACTTAATATCCTAATGATTTTTGGCATAGAAGCAAAAATGATAATTCTGACCCATACAATGTATTGTTGGCTATTGCTACAAATATCCCCCAGCGACTTAAGACCTGTGCTCCAGGGAGACATATAAAATGTTGAGAGCTGGTGTGCTGCAGGAGCAGGGATGAGAAACACTGCTTTAGTAGACACATGCAGTGATGAACTGTAATCTAACTTGACTTGAGAACTACATACCACACTTTAAACTCGCTAGATGTCTGCTCCCTTCCTCTTCATGTGAACATATCAGGTACATGTCAGGTTTTTTTTAGTCACAATATTTCATCTGTGTGGTGACACAAAAGTGAAACGCATTTTTGAAAATAAATAAAAGTGGGACTTTGTTTGATCCATCAGTTGTTGAATGGATGGAGGCAGTTCTGAGTGTCAGTTTAAGGTCAATTGATGAAAGTGGCGAAGTTAGAGGACTAAATGATTGAAGAAATTCAGTGTATGTATCCAGAGAGAGAAAAAAAAAAATTAAAAATTTCTTTCAATTAATGCTGTTAACTAAACAGAAAACCCGCTCACTTGGTACATTACTAAATTACTGGTTAAAATGAACACAGTACCAACTATTAAAGTTTGATTTCTTATTGTCAGGTAATTCTGCTTTCTAATGATGGCATTGTTATTGTATTCTATTTCATTGTTGAAATATATCCCTTTAAACTACAGATGTTTAGTGACCTTTTTAAACTTGTGCATCGATTTGAAAGAAATGCTACAATATTGAGAATATATCTTGAGAATTATGAATCTGTGTCAAGATTGTTCAAATGAAGATCACAATCATCTTTTTATTTTTTGGAAATAAAGACCCAACTAGGGATGTCACGACACCAAAAATCTAGTAGTCTGTATCGATACCACTAAAAGTACTCGATACCCGATACCATGGGGAAAAAAATAACAATAATACTTAAACATTAACTCCTAAAGTCTTAGGCCTTGTTTTAATGTCTTACTGTGGCAAGTGTTTTTGAGGATGGTTTGATCGTTTGTTTGCTCAGGTTTGGAGAAAATCGAGCAACTGCAGAACCATGAGAATGAGGACATCTACAAACTGGCTTATGAAATAATCGATCAGTTCTTCTCATCTGATGATGTAAGTTTGTTTTTTGTTTTGCCGCAGAGCAATAATGAGGAGAACAAGTATATATCTGTTAATGTAAATGTGTAGTTTTTATTACCTCTTCAGTGATGCTGCAGGTGGTTCACTCATGAATAGTTAGATGCAGCTCTCGATGATTCTTTCCTTTCTTTCAGATTGACGAGGACTCCAACTTGGTTCCCGAAGCGATCCAAGGAGGAACGTACAGCTTCAACTCTTCTACCAACGTGCCAGCAGAAGGGTTCCAGTTCTAGACGCCACGGGGAAATCTGGAGTTTTGTTTGTGATGCAGCACTCTGTTCAACATTAAAAATAATTAGAGAGAGAGAGCGCGAGAGAGTGTGAGAAATATTAGATCCGTTGTGCTTGGCTGATGGGATCCAGCTGCATCTAATCCGAGAGAAATTGAGTGGAGCTCCTTCTGAAGGAAGCGTCCAGACGGCGTTTGAGACGGCTTTGAGTGGATGCGAGTGAGAGTGAGTGGCTGACTACTATGTTTCAAAACACGACCATCTAAACCGAACGCGTGTCTTTTCAACAAAACCAAACCGAACCAATGGGAATAACGAAGATGTCTCACGTGAATAATCTGAGGTAAGAACGCTAAAGGAGAGAACCTCACCACCAACGCCAACAACCAAGAGACGCGAACACACTTCTGAGGTGTGTGTGTGAGTGGCCCCTGAGCTGAGGGCCCGCGTTCATCTGACGTGCTGGAGAACGAACCCAGCAGGCCAGAGCCCTCTCCCTTCACACCGCAGTCTTTGTGCTGCGTGTGCGCAACTGAATGGACGTGACGTGTGTGTGTGTGTGTGTGTGTGTGTGTGTGTGTGCTCGACTGACTGAAGAAACGCAGGACTGAATGCAACGAACGCAGCGAGTCGACATCGTGTGGAAGGTGACCAATTCAACGGGAAATTGTGGAATAGCCTGGAAGAGGAGGCTAAATTAATAATAATTAAAATAAATCACCTTCAGTGGAACGACTGGACATCAGTGATCTAAAGAAGACAATGTCATGACTTTAATTCTCCCTTTTCTTTTAACTGTTATTTAGTGTTGATGACACTGGACTGAGCTTTGGGTGTTGCGTCGAGGAGGTCGTTGGGGACGTGCGTTTTGTCCCAGTGTGTGTTTTTTTCCCCTCTCCCTTTTGCTTTTGGTCTCCCCCGTTTCAGCTTTTATTTTTCAGTGCTGGTGTAAATACATGTAATACACATTGTGCACTGTTGTACCTTTACTTTGCACAGACCCCGGGCTATTGTACATTAACCGCTCTGCTTTCATGATGAGTTTCCCCCTTTTCTGTTCTCGGGAATAAATCCGATGGCTTTGAGCCGTGCGCGATCATGTGGGGAGGTGTTTTATGTGCGAGAGGTTTCAGACATATCTATAGCATGTGCTAAACTGCGGCATAGTTCATTTTAGTGGGTTTTAGTTTTGTAAGTGTAAGCTGTTTTTTTTTCTTTATTTTTTAAAAGTACCTACTGTAATGTTTGTGACTTTTTTTTCTTTTTTTTTCTGCCCATTTATGCCCCTCACCGTTCCTGACCGACAAGCAATTCTCCACCGTTTTGCACACTGCAGCATTGGAGGTGTGTGAACGTTAGCAAGATGGACAAAACCCAAGCTCCTGCTTGTAGTGCGAATACAGAGTCCATCTTTATTTGTAGATATTAGTGTTCCGTGTTGAGCGTGTCTCTGGCGGACTGTGCTGTGCCTTCATCGTAAAGCACGTGCAGGTGACGGTATGAAAGCGCTGTTTAGGTTCACCATCCTTTTGTTTCTTAATTTTAGTTGACTGTAGAGCTGTCTCTGTTTTGCATAACCTCTTGATGGCTACATTGTTTTATTTACAGCCCACCCTCCCCAACAGCATTCCTTGTTTGCAAATATGTAGTTTCAAAAGAAGAAAAAACTAGATGGTATACCTATCCTGTTGGACATAGACTACAGGCTCTGTACCTACTCAAATAAATATTCAGATGTGTCACACTGCTGCTTCTCTGTTGGTGATCTGATCTGAAAGATTTTTAAGAAGCTTCTGATGGTGGTTTTTAAAGTAATTGCTGAATCAAGGAGTTTTTTTTTCTTCTTTTTAAATGCATTTACTTTATGGAGGGCCAAACCTACAAAATAGATTTATATATTAATATAATTTTCTCTTATTTTCCTTTTTCTGGCGATGAAATCATTTATAATGACTGAAGAGTTGCGAGTTGAAGAAATGAGCAGTAAATGCAAAATAAGCACGTCTCATGGACAGAACTCGGGAAACTAAGCAGAATAAGCTGTAGTCAGTAAGTTTGAGTCTCATGTCTTTTCAAAGCCTTGATGTCGTGGACTCCACTGATCTTTTCCATTGCTGAGAGCTTAAACTGATTAAAGCTATAAAGATAATGATATTAGCGATAATATCGTCTGTTTATTCCAAGCGCACGCTCGTCTGCCGCTTTCAATTCTCCAGCTCATGACAGCAGGATGGATTCTTATTGGCTGTCAATGTTTTTATCGTTCATCAGCTGGAAAAAATCATTCTGGAAGTGATTCCAATGATATCGTTTCTCTGTGCCTGTATCGTTATAGCTGTGGTGTGGACTCTGCTATCCTTTAATATTGAGAACGATTTTTAGAACTATATCTTTATCGTTGTCTTTATAGTTATCGTTCTATTTAATGTGGTTATATTAACCATTCTTCTGTATATTTGTGAGCGTCACTTAGGTGTTGTGCACTAGCTTCAGATACTACTATTTTTTTTTGTCCAGACAAATTAAATTAATAATATTAGAATGCATTTGATTAATCTCTCGGTTTTAAAATTCTGATCAATAATCAGACAGTTTCATCACTGGGTTTCCAGCAAAAAAGAGTCATCTTTGAAGGGATTCTCAAAAGTTTTAATGCAAATTCTGCAGCCATATTGAACTTTACAGAGGTGAATTTGAAACCACATACTAACCTTACTATTTCTGCCATATGAAGTTATGGTAAAAATTAGGAGTTGTAGGTGCCATAGTATTAGAAAACATTTGGCGGAAAGTGCCCAGATGACCCACTACTTCCAGTGGTTCTCGAGTGTGTATCCACTGGACACTACTATCCCAGGAGCCACTGGAGAGAAGTCCTTATATTAAAAAAGACAGACATTCTTTTAAGTGTAAGTATTTAAAAACAAAAAAAAAACACTTCCTTAAATGGTTTAATTGGTGGTTAAATTGCTTTAGTATTCTCTGGAATAACGACTCGCTTGTTGATGGTCCGAACAATGTAAATTTGAATAGAATAATTTGTGAGTTGGATGCAAATAATATATATATTTTTAGCCTAACTAGACTGTAGACAAGGTGACATGCATTGACATTAATTCACTGTAGACACTTGTTAACCAATTTAATGAGCTAAACTTAAAGAGATCGAAATAGAAGTTTTATTTGTCTTTACCAGTATTTGGCAATTTGGTAGAATTTTATGTTGGCTGCTATGAAGTCTTTTTTTGTTTGTTTGTCAGCATTAAACTGAATCACATTTAACGTTACATCCTGTTTTGATGTTACAGGGACTGATGAACACCCATAATTTTGTCTGGTGGAAAGTTGCCAATAAAGGCCTATTCACCAGGAAACACAGCACTTCCATTAAAGAGATTGAGTGAGTATACAAGAGAAATAGACCCTTTTTTTTCTCACATGTCTGGGTTTCTCCGCAGCGGAAGTCGTCATAGTTGGGTAAACTTCGACTTCAGTTCATCTTTATTTATTTCGCAATTTCGTTGCAACATACAAGCATATCACATAGGACAACAAAACACACAATACAAAAAAACACTCCATTTCCTTCCTAAAAAGTTTGACCTGAAATGTAAAAACTTTACAGCAGAGGGGATAAATGAAAAATAAAAATTTATTTTACTAATAGGCGTTCTATACCGAATGCCAGAAGGGAGAAGATGAAACTCATGATACACAGGGTGGGAATCATCTAACAAAATGCTCTGGGCTTTACCCAGAACCCGTCTTTGATATAACTGGGCCATAGGCATTTACATTAAATGACCTTAGTTTCCGCAAACAGTACAATCTTTGCTGCCCCCTCTTACACAGAACATTAGTATTTAGTGAAAAGGACCTTTTATTATCCTAGACCGTACACAAATACTTATACTGTTCAACACTCTCAATACCCACTCCATTAATGCTTGTTTGCTTATACTGAATAGAGTTAAAGTCAAGTCATCTCCTTGAGCGCTTAAAGCGTTCTGACACCAAATAGTGAAATCATCAACCACAGGGGAGTCCTCCTCACTCAATAGGCTAACTGTTAAAGAATCATCAGCAAATTTTATAATATGCCTATTTCTAAAACTACTCTTACAGTCATTTGTGTACAAGATAAATAACAAAGGAGAGAGGACACATCCTTGAGGTGCCCCAGTAGATGACAGCAGCCATTCAGAAAAACAGGCATTCACTTTAACTCTGTCTTCTCTGTGCAAGGAAATCTAAAATCCATCCTACGGGACTAAAATCCAACCCAAAGTCATTAATGGGCTTCTCAACTAAAATATGTGGCTGAATGGTATTGAAAGCAGATGAAAAATCAAAAAGTAATTTAACAAATGTTTTCGGTTTATCCAAATGCTGAAGTACTAAGTGTAAGAGAGTCACTACTGCATCGCTTAGACCTATATGCAAATCAAAGGGGGCGCAAATGATCTGTGAGCGCCACAGATCTAAAATCATCTAATGTCTATGTTATGCTTTTTTGCCACTGGAATCACTGTAGACTAAGGATGGTGGTGGAAAAAATTGGGGGCGAGTAGAAAAAATTCAGGGTGGGAGGAAAAAATGTTTTTCAAATTTTTGTTCTCTGGCAAAACTTTTGCGTTCTCTCGCAAAACCAGTTGAGTTCGGACAAACATTTCCTGTTTACTTTACAGCTGGCAGTGGTTCATACAGCTCCGTGCATTCACAGTGTAGCATTTCATAGTTTTATTTTGAACTTGGACTCAAGTGTAAAGAAATACAGTCAGTGCATAGTTCAATGTACTGTTTTGGGACATTCTAATACTAATTATGAGCTCAGCCAATGGAAACACCAATCACCATTATGGTGACTTCAAATGAAACAAACATTAGATTTAAACACCCGTTAATTCTCAATAAGAAATTCTGTAGACCTCTAACAGAAATAAAGTCAATCTGGTTAGTAATAAGTGAAGCTGGTAATGCTGTTTGTGGAGTTGTGTAATCCTCCTCTGCTGAGATCTTCAGAGATTTAATGTCTTTTATCTTCAGCTGATTTCTTCTAAGGCTGTGGCTGCAGTCAGTTGTAGTTCTTGAGTTTCGGTTTGTCTCTTTTCTTCAGTGATTTTGCTTGTTAACAAGCTTAGACAAGATGAGAGGACTCTATAAATAATATACACCTATTATGTGGCTCAGAAAAGGTCCAGTGTGGTTTATTTCTTTGCTCTTGGCTGACATATGGCATTGCTATGGCCTGCTTTTGGCCCAGATCTGGCAAACGGGAGCGGTCCGCCCAAGTGCCATCATTCTACGCTGCATGTGGGCCAGATCATCTTTCCACATGTGCCAGATGTGAGCCACATCTGGGCCGACAATATGTTGCTATCTGGGTCTAGAGACAGTAATATATTGGATCACTGTTACACCACAATAAAGAATGCATATCACTCTGTTCCACGAGCAGCTTTGGGGCTCTCTGATCACTGTTTGGTTCATCTTATACCGACCTACAGGCAGAAACTGAAATCAGCTAAACCTGTATTAAGGACTGTAAAAAGATGGACTAATGAAGCAGAGCGGGATTTACAAACCTGCTTCGACTGCACTGATTGGAGTGTTTTTGAAGCCGCTGCCACCGATCTGGACGAGCTCCCAGAGACTGTAACTTCATATATCAGATTCTGTGAAGATATGTGCATTCCTACCAGGACATTCTTATCTAATGATAAACCGTGGTTTACTGGGAAACTCAAACATCTTCATCACGCCAAAGAGGATGCTTACAGAAGTGGGGATAAAATCTTGTACAACAAGGCAAGGAACAGGCTAACGGAAGGAGATCAGAGTAGCTAAAAAGAATTACCAACCATTCAACCTGCGCTTAAGGTCTGTGTAGAGGATGTGAACCAGAAGACTAGGAAAGCTTCAGGCCCAGACTGTGTTTCACCTGCCTGTCTGAAATCCTGTGCTGACCAACTGGCCCCCATCGTCACACAGATCTTCAACAGATCACTGGAGCTGTGCAAAGTTCCCTGCTGCTTCAAATGCTCCACCATCATTCCGGTCCCCAAAAAACCCCAAATAACTGGACTTCATGACCACAGACATGAGAGTGACAGGTCTGTAGTCGTTAAGTCATTTAAGAGACTGGTCCTGGCCTACCTGAAGGATATCACTGGACCTTTGCTGGATCCTCTTCAGTTTGCTTACCGAGCAAACAGGTCTCTTCTACCTGTATACCCATGCCTGCACCTCTAAAGAC